ATTTAACTTTATAATGCTATAACTTATTGAAAAGTTTATGGATCCACACAATTTTTTTATGAGAAATAATATTTTTTAATAAACCCTTTTTCATTCGACATACTTTATCTTAATCGAGATATTAATAAGGAACCAGCAGATCAAGTAGCTTTTGGAATAAAACACCAATTTTTTTAAAATTAAACACTATCTAAAGATTTGCATCGAAGCGTTTATTTTTGATAGTGATTTTAATCACTATCAGATATCATTATACTTGATCCAACTATGCCACGTCACCACTGTGCCGCGACCCCCCTGTGCTGGGTTTTTTATATTTACTTAAGTATTTCTAAAACATCAGCATGTCAATTTAAATGTAATTTATACCGGATTCCAATTATACAGTAGAATAAAAATAATCTGTTTTCCCCTATTGTAATATTGAATAGTAATCTCGATTTTTTCAAGAAGGAAATTGTTTTCAATAACATTGACGTTTAATAATAATAGAAAATTTTTTTTTTTTTTTGTTAAAAAAAATAATATTATTAAACTTAAAAATAGTTTAATACCGATAAACCTTAGCAAGTACTTCTAATTTTCGTTTTATTTTTACCACAAAACATTTTTGGAACTTTACAAATAATCTATAACATTTAATCAATTCAAATTACAAAAACAATAGTTTTTAATGAGATGACATCCTTATAAAATATCAAATAATGACCATTTAAAAAATCATTTTTTAATTTAATTTTATGTATTTGTTTAAATATAATAATAATGTTATACAATGAGTTCATATCCTAATCAACGATATCTTTAAGACATTAATATCTATAATATTTTACTTTAAATTTATCAATGTGCACTGTTTAGCTTTAACATATTGTTATAAAATTATTGTTTTTAATAAAATATATTTAAAACTTATTTTATTTTCCCGAGTATTAATTATTAACCAGTTTTCCTTTGTAACTTATATGATAATTTTAAAGATGACCTGCATATTAACGTTACGGACATTAGTTTCGGATTAAACGTGCTCTACATTATCGTTAAAAAATACATATTTTATTTCGTAGTAATTTATCTCATGTTATTAGGAAGAAATTTAATATATATTTCCATACAATGTTATGTTAACTTGAAAAAATAGCTTTTATATTGAAAAATATTTTTTACTAAATATTAAATTTGTGTTTTATAATATGAACAGCATTTATATATATGTGGTCTTTATTATAATATGATATAAATCATAAATCTGAAAATGATCTTAGTAGATCACAGGTTATAAATAATGATATAGAAAAAGTTAATATTATTTAATATACATGTCTTAACTATGTCCTATGTAAATAACTATATAACTATTTTTAATTAATTCATTTACTATATTTTATAGTATGAGAACTAATTTAAATGTGATGAAAACTAATTTTTTTCACTGATATTAAATTACAAATATCGTTGAAGGGAAATGAAGATAATTATTTTATTTAAATATTTGATATAATAACACTTCAATTATTAATTTTATATTTATTATTGTATAAGCATAGATTATTACAAAATTATTCTATGCTGAATATTATTTCTAACTGATACATTTGTGATACATCGATAATTTTTTTTTTTTGTATTTAGGATATAAAAAAATGTTCTAACAACTACACAATGTTTTGTGTAAAAAAGGATATACTTTTATATTTGGATAAGTTTAATGAAGAAAGAAGTTATGAGCTTTTTCCTGGTTTTACCATTCATCAGAGCCGTTTATCCAATGCTGTTTATTCAAACGTTTCTCAATTCGACAAAGCTAACTTTTCTGATTTAGATAGTTTGATAAGCAAACGAATTTATGACTACATAGAAAGTGTTGACATAAGAGTTAAATTGATTAGTCCTATGAATTCAACGACACGATCAATTAGTGCAAGCTTTCTCGAACGTGTATTGCCATTTTTCCGAATGAGTATGACCAAACAAATATTTTTATATTTAACTATAAAATCACTAGGATATGTTTTACCAAAATTGTTAAAACATTCATAATACGTATAATATAGTATTAGTTTATAAATATGTTTTTGTCACACTCTGTATTCATCTTTAAAAATACATTTGATAAATACACAAATTAATATTTGTTTATTTTTTGAATTTCTATATGAAAAATTATTGACATTGTATAGGAATAATTTTGATAATTTAATTTATAACATAGATAGATACATTTTATATAAAACAATGTGTTTTAATATTTATATTTAATTTTTTTTTAATATTTAATGTAAAAATTATGATTTAAAATATTATAATTCACTAATGTTAAGATATAAAATTAAAAATTTTTATTTGACCGAAATATCATTTATTGCTATATTTTATTGTAATTTTGTGTGAAAGAGTAAAATATTAATCATTTGCGCTGTACAGACTGACTTTGTCTTAATTAAATTTTAATTAGTTCAACTTTTCCGTTTTTGTAAAAACCATGATAGAGAATTCATNAACTTCAGTAATTATTATCAATATTAGGAAATTTAAACATAATTTAGTACATGTATTTAACTTTAATGTTTGACTTAAAACTTTTATGTCACTAATTTTGTAACTTATATACTATCCTTGTAATATATTTGTAAATTATAAATATGGCTTTAAATTAAAAAAAATTTAATTTCAAAAATATTTAAATATAATATTCTTTAATTTTATGTCAACGATAAATATTTTAACTGTTTTACGACAAAACATTATTATTATTTTTATTATTTTATCACACAGTATGGAGAATATTAAAATAGGATATTATAGTTATTTAACTGAGTAGCTGCATATTAGGTTGCATTTGGAATTAATCAGGCGTACTACATTAATTATTTTATTTCCTCAATAGAGAAATATTTTGGTTAATTCCATTAAAATATAATATAAAATTCAAAAATAGAAACAGATTCTCTAAAGTTACATCTTTTTTAAGTTATGGAGCAGAATTTTAGTNGTAGAAAAAAGAAAGATCAATATGGCGTTTATTGGGCTGCTGCTACTATGGCTACTTTGGGTGGTAGCGCGCTGTTGGCTTTATCAAGTAAAGCTCTCATGACTGCTGGTGCAGCATTGGCATTTGCCATTTATAGCAACATGAAAGGAGGTAGTGGCGGAAAAGGAGGTGGTAGTTTGACAGCTACATTAATGGAGGAGAGTGCGCTGGTACCACAAAGGCAATGTGCTGAAGCATTGGTCGATTTATCTGGACATTATCAAGATATTGAACGGTATCCAGGATCTAGGAAAGCTGTGGAAATAGTGTCTCCTAAGCCAGTTTATAGAATACAAACAGAAGACTACTCTTCCCCTTCTTATAATGGAGCGTCATCTTCATATCCGTAGAATCGACATGATCAATATAGTTTTAAAATATAATTAATAAACATGAAGTATTTATATAAAGTATAAAATAGTTTAGCTTCAACNCTCATGACTAATTTTGTAAATACTATACGAAAAATAAATATTTTAAACTTTTATAATCATAAATAGAAAGTCAAAATAAAAAAAATTTATTAAAATAATGACAATAAAAATGCAGAAATGGAAAAATAATTTCGTAACAATAATAATTGATGATGTTTAAAAACATAATTAAAACTTCTCTTTATAACATTATTACAAAGTCAACATTAAAAATATAAAAATTTAGTAAGATTTAAAATAAAATTGAAAGACTTGTGTTCCAATAGAGGGAAATTTTGTTTGGGACCTAAGTAATGTAAATTCGATTCTATTTTTATAACTCTTGCAATATACACACTAACCTATTTCTTCACTTTTATTATATAGAACTATTGTTTTTATTAAAGAGAAATTATTTTTAAAAAAATCTTGTTTTGCTGTGGATATAACGATGTTACTTGTTAAATATTTCAAAAAATTGTAATTAAAAAAAAAAAAAAAAAAAATACTAACGTATTAATTTTACCTAATAATTTTAGGATGTATCTCGTTGGAAAATATTAATCAGAAATTCATAGTAATCAGTGACGACGGAACCGAGGCAAAAGTTGCTTATCCAGTTATAATACGTGAGGGTAAAAGTATTTTTTTATCCTTCCCTGTTGAATCTAATAAAAGAATCATACCTAAAAAAAATATCATTGTTAAAGAACTGGGTTTAGTTCAAAAAATATTCATTATTAATTTTAAAAATTCGTTTATTATCGATTTCAGATATTGTGCTTATACCATAGTATAATGTTTATTGATATTATATTATTAATTGTGGTCTATCAAGTTTTATTGATCATAATAATATTTCAAGTAGGTCTTTGCCAAAGATAAAATTGATTTGTTATTTAATACTTATTTATACACTTATAAATTTTAATTTTTAGTTTAATAAAATTTATGTTATTTAAAAAGTTTGATTTTGAAGATCCTATAAATTGAAATAAATAGTTTCAAAAATTATTAATAAGGTAATAAAAAAATAATATCCAGATTTTTGTATATAATCAAAAAAAAAATAGCATTATCCACTTTTTAGCTTTGTTACCATCATTTGAACCGATTTTTAGTCATTTAATGTTTGCCCCATCCATGTAGACAATTTTTCCCGCACTTCTGGTAATAGTAATAATAATCATTATTGAAAAAAAGAGTACTAAATCGATCATGTGTTTTAGTTTTATAAATTTAATAATAATTGAAGTAATAATACCACAAGCAATTTTTTTTAGTTGTTCTATCTAGACCAATTGAAAGTCTTGCCACAACAAAATTATTAAATACGTGTATCTTTATTTACGATGACGAATTGAACAAATGAATGTTATACTTATGAGTTGGTTAGTTCATGGTTCTTATTTAAAATGAAAATTTTATTTACTAGAAAAATATGGCTATCATTGTAATTATGGTACAGATGTAGTCATCCAAATTTCATATTGGTAGCAATTCAATAAAACTTATTTAAATGCAATACTCTTCTTCCGGCTTTGGTTGCCCAAAATTTACATATGTAAACATAAAAGATTAAACTAGGCAACCATAACCATGTATAATTAAAATTTATGTACTATTATAAAATCGTATCGGACAGGGAGTGTCTCGAGTATTAAAACAAAATGTTAATTTAGTTAGAATATATAATAATTTAGTTTTTAACAAAATTAAAGGTCATTGATAATAACAAACAACTAACTTCGTGAATATAAAAGATTCCACTTAAAAATTAAGAGTTATTCAAACTTAATTTAAAAAGTTATTTAGCGATTAACTCGAACTGACAGTGGTCAGAGAACTTTTACAATCCGCGAGTGGCAGACACTAGGGCGGCATTTTAGGTGCGCCCTTTTACAAAAGGTGTATGTTCATAAAAATTTTTTTTTTTAACTATAATGTAATATTAAGAGCCTCGTAAAATTGTTTCATGCAAAGCCCTGTAATTTTTGTGACGTATCCACGTTTTAAATTACAACCAAAATATAACGTATTTAATAATAATATGTCAGTCATTTTTATTTATTTTTTTAAAAAACTCACTCTCAAATTAATTACTGATGTATTAAAGATAATAAAATTAATTTCTTAAGTTACTTTTCAGAGATTATAAATATAATTAAAAAGCCTTAAAAAAAATGTTCAAGTAAGTATAAAATAACTGCATTTAAAGGGTCAAATTTAAATATTCCGATTAGATTATTTAACATATTTGTTAAATTTAGTTCATCAAATAAATTATTTTTACGATTAAATTTATAATTTTTTATATATCTTATGTAAATTTTTACCCGATAATAAATCTTAAGAAGTTATAAATAAAAAATATAAATTTTTAGGGTTAGTCGTAAAAAAAAATTTAATACGGAAAATTTTATTTCTTTTCACTATTTATTAAATATTGTATACATAGTTAGTATATAGACGTGTAAAATGTTTTCTATTCATTAATGATTCATATTAAAAAAAAAAACTATTCTGTTATTGGACCAACCGTAAAATTACACTTTATTAAGTACCTGATGATGAATTAATGTCTACTAATTTTCTAAATTTGTGAATGTTGAAATTTTGAAATCTTTATATTATAGAAATGTGAAGCTCATCAATATAAATTAATATAGGCGCAAGATTAACCTACTTTTTCTTATAAGTTTTATTTGATTCAAATAATAAATAATTATCAGGTCATTGCATCGTAAATATGTTCTAAACAATGATCATTTTTGTATAATTAAAATGATAAAAGTGATTTAAAATATTTTTGAAGTGTTGTAATGTTAAGAGAAATTACTTTAATAGTTTTGTTGTCTTATATATAAATTTTATATAAAATATAATGTGTTTGTTTTTTAATCAATAAATGAATAGAAAAATATCTCTTGTATGTATGAATTTTTTTAGATTTTCCAATATTTTCAAAACTTGAAATATCAAAATATTTATAATAGGTTATATTGTAAATATATTTTATGTATGGCATCCGTTAAACAATCAATTTATTTCAGTATTTATATGAAACACAGTTTTATCATTGAATGGATATGTGTTAGTAGGATTTTGGGACCTCTGAACATGTATTATTTTACTTTGTATTAATATAAGAATGGTGTTTATATTGTGTACTTTTATAGCTATAGAACCCTATTTATGATTACTACACATATGTCTAGTACCACGGTGAAATATGACGTTTGTCAGAGCAAACGTGACGACTGTTACTATTGTTTTTCCAAAAAACGAAATCGTCCACTTCACGAGTCGAGTACTAGCTTGGGTAGGTAGGTGCAAATTATTTGAAGGCGGTTATTAAACATATACATGTGTGTTGATTGTCATTATTGTAGAAAATATTTCTTTTCATCCATTAATAACACAATATGGTATTTTCTACTGATTCGTTTCGATTCGTATAGTCTAAACAGTTTCCCATCGAGTATGTGTTGCCACCGTGCTCATTATGTTATAAATATTTTTCTCCATCCTCCTTCTGATGTATTCTTTATTACTATATCAACCTAAAACACTATTGCAGTTGTCGCACATACATACACATACGAACACTGTTTTCATAAAGCATTATTAGAAAAAAAAACAAAATATGCATTTATAAACAAGTGTTAATACCAATAATGATAATAATACACAGTTTGTGTATCACACAATATTTAGGTCACAAACGTCGTCAAGTATGTCGTTTTAGACATTATTGATAGTCGGTAACAATATTGATATTGTACTTACCCGTTATCAGTAAATCATATAAGAAAACAAGTCATGTTAGCTAAACGGCATCACGTATTTACAACCCTGGTTTTGGTTAGACTAAATGTAACTCTAGTAAAATGAGGACGTAGCCAAATACATCTAAAGTGCTCTCGCCATGAGTCGCATATTCTATTCAATATTCTCTGGTATAATATTTCGTTTATTTAGGTATTCTTTTTTTATTAATCGCTCAAGTCATCCAGATTGAATATTTTAACGTACAACGTTTAAGATTGAGCTTTTTGCATACAATTCTACTATAATTCATGCAACATAATAATCTTGTGCATGACAATATTGTATTGTACTCTTAAAGAATGTATCAAAGAAGCTATTTAATATTTTTAAGAAAACTATAAAGTTACTAAGTAAAACATCGAATTTGCACATCGCGTCTTTCTATCAAAAATGTAATTAATTATCTGAAGGGTAAAGGGAAAAACGACTATTGTCCATTTATGCAAATTTTTCATAAGAACCAAAATAAAGTTATAAACTCATTTCCTATTGATGATACAACAAAAATAGACACATACTTTTTAGAAAACTGAAAACATTTTTGATCAAATGGATTTAATTACTTGATGTTACTGTTAATGGGCTATCAATTCAAACAATAAAAACAAAATTGAAAAAATGGACTCGTATATAACCGTTATTACACTGATAATTCCATGTACCTTTCATACTTAAGCTTAATGAAATTTATTACAAGTAAAATCACTTACGATTTATTAAGTTCTGTGTTTATTAAAATAGAATTTTATAAAGCTACCTCATTATAACTAATATAAAAATTAATAATTATATTTTAATAATAAAAATATTTGAAATGAAAAAATTAAATGTAATTAATATTAATTAAAAAACTTCAAGAGTTTTATTTATGTTATTTACAAGTCAAAATAATCAAAATAAACTGTAATTTGCAACTTTTTATAATATTGAAATGTTTAACATGGTTATTTTATTACTTACATTTATAGGTAGAATCAATAAAAATTTGCATGACTAAATAATAACAAAATGTAATACTAAGTGAAGAGTAAAGATAGTGAAGCACTTACTGGTTAATTTAAGAATGTTTAGTGTCAACAAGAGAAATCCGATTTCCGTTTTGTATTGATACGGTTATTTAATGTTAGTTGAAGGTCTTATTAAAAAATAATAAGAGTCACGGCATTAAATGCAGTCAGTTATTGTACAGGTTTGTTAACAAATATTACGATAAAAATGCCAAGTAATTTTTCACGATAGAAAATATTTTAACTAGGTAGTAATGTAAAAACTCGAAATATGTGGATATTAAAAATTATTTGATGTAAAATTAAATGTACGCTAAAGAATATTAGTTATAGTTTTAAATCAAAATAAAATGTATTTGGTTACATTTACTAAATACCTATAAGAGTGTGCAGGTACCATAGTGTGTGAACCAAAAATGACTATTTATATCATTATAATGGTTACTAAAAAGACACGCTTTTAACCCACATTTTAAATCCCTCACCTCCAAACTATCCATTGAAGTATAGAATTAGATAAATTAGAATGTACGAGAGTAACATCTAAACTTACGAGATGGTTTATTAAATTGCATTTATTTTTTCATTCAAATCATTTATTATATTCATAATAGAGTTATTAAAATTTGTTAGTTTTAATTAGATGGTCATTGTTATTATAAAAAAAGCAGATGCTAAAATTATTATGGGTAAACAATTTATAGTAAACATTCTAACTATATAAAATTATATTACCATTGTATTTTGTTTTATATTTTCAGTATACTGTAAATTGTACTGATTAAAAGACATTTTTGCATACACACTAATTAAATGTGTCATATTAAATTATTTCAGGTTAATATCCTATCATTCAATTGAATCATAAACTCTTAAAAATTTCTCTTAATTTAAAATAAACTAATAAAATAATTAACTAATGTACTATATTGCTCTTAATAAATAATAATAAATAATTTTTTTTTTTTAATATAATTATTTTATACATAATAAAAGGTAATATCGTATTAAAAATATGCAGCGAGTATCGCATAGATTTATATTTATAATTTGAGCAGTTATTCAAAAAACGAGTTAAATTCTTCTTTTTGTTATTTTATTACCTAAGAATTAATTTCGAGACATAAATCTAATAAATTTCTTAAAGTTTAAATAATGTTTTGATGTATTAGTTTTTGGCGGGATAGTAAACAATTTTGTTAAAATATTTAAAAATAATACATGAAAGGATAATTTTACAAAACTAGTTATCACATATCGTTAAAAAACAATTTAGTACCATATTTGCTCCAAATAATCAGGGGTGTAATTTAGGGTTGATGATGGAGATAAATTCTCTAGAAAAAAATTATTTGCATGGCAATAGTACATTTTTTTTTTTTAGTTAGGGTAGTGATGAAGTTTCTTATATATATCTCCCTTCAAAAGAAAACACTAATTACGACACTGCATACAATACATTTATTTAATGTATTTAATTTTTCTGTTATATTTAGAAAGTACAAAATAAAAAACCAAAAAACTAAGGACACACTTTGCACACTCCCAGAGACAGGATTGGACGTAGTATTTATAATAAGAAATTAACTAGAATAATTTTTAATATATGTGTAAATTCTAGTTTATAGTTATTTAAGGGTGGCATATATTTTAAAATGATAGTAAATAGTATATTTTTTTAATTATAGGTTACATATCTGTTGTGTCCAGGTTTCATTAAAAGGGTATATCGCTCTCTTTGGTCTGAAGTGTAATATGTAGAGGCGGAAATGACCTGTTCACCACCACTATCATAAGTATTAGTACTGGACAAATCTTAAACGATGGTAGGAGAACCGCGAATAGTGATAGGCGTCGGCGGCACTATAAAACATACTGTTTCCATGATCTTCTTAGTTCTTCTGTGGTAACTTGTTTTTCGCATACATATTTATCTTTTAATTTTTCTTCCGCTAAACATTATGACGTTGTCCGCGGCTCCTTGCTTTTTGGCCGCGGTAGCTTTCGGGTTGTGCGTATCCGCTGGAGATCCTGTTATTGATAATAACAACACTTTTTCAAACTTACCAGCCGCTACAACCAACAGTGACTTTAATAACGTGTCTGAATCTCCAGCTATAACCATTTTCAATAGTAGTTCGACAGAAAGGGATTCTAGATTTCTAAATGTTGCACCTGACTCCGGAGACTCTAACTTGATACAAGAAAAACAAGATGAGGCTACATTGGACCCAGGTTCGCACTTAGTTGGCATCTACACAGATTGCCTGCTTCAATGGTCATTCCCATGTGTTCAACGAAAACTATTGTTGTTTTTGGATAATATTGGTAAAATGAAAGGTAAGATTGAGGTGTATTACTTTTAATTTAATCATATGCTTGTAAATAACTGAATTTAATTTATATACCTTAGGTAAATTTATACTGAAAAAAATTTAAAGTTATCGAATTATAAACGAGTAAAATAATGTAAATCATAAGTATTTAATAATTTTTTTTGAGTTATAGAAAATTATAAATTATAGAATAATTTAAATGATTGTTCTTATCTTAAAATAATGCATTAATAATAATACAAAATTTATTCTAACTGCTTTTATAAAAATTTTACACTTAGAGCATTTTTAAAGGAAGCTAAAGTTGTTTATGAGACACATATAACCTATGTAATTAGTTAAAAAATTTATCAAGTAACAAATATACATAAACATTTTGAAGGATGAGTTTAACATCTAATGACTCCTGTGTACAGCAATTTCAAAATAGCTGAATACATTATTTTTTTAATAATAAATCTAATCATATTTTAATTGCATAATAAAATTAAAACAAAAATGATTACTATTTACAAATATAAGCTTTTATTGTAATAAAATTAATTAGATTAGTTATTTTTTAATCAAATATTAATTTAAAAAATAATTAGTAATTTGAATTTAATTTAATTGGGCAATGTTAAGCGGTTTAAATGTTTTTGATGCGACTTTGTTGGTTGAATAGTTAAGTGTAGTTATTTTAAAGTGAAAAAAAATAATAATTAAATGAAATGTAAAAATAGCAAATACTTCATTATTTTTACATTTAAATTAAAAAAAAAACAATTTGCATCTTTATTTATGTGATTCTACTATCATTATTATTGACTCTGTAAATTCTTGATAATGATAAATTCGCAAAATATTTATCTGATTATTTTATCTTATCCTAAAATATTTATATTTTTTACTTGTCGTTCTTTGATAAGTAACAAATAATCGATGTAAAAAGAAGAATAAATTTTTGTTAACAAAAGAGACAACGAAATCATTATAAAGATGTCAATGGATTATTATATTCGTTGTTGTTGTTGTTGTTGTTGTTATTGTATTAAAATACGGTCAATTTCTAGTAGACCATAACTCAAACTATGTGTTTACGTAGTTTCGCTTATGTTTGTGGTTTTATAAGACCTAAAAGTTAATCGGTCGTAAAATAAAGTATTGATTTTTAGTACATATATTTCTTATTTTTTTCAACAAAAGGCATTGATTAATAAAAATTTACTATGATTGACTAGGTTAAATTATCCAGTAATTTATTAGAACTAGAGAGCTTTGATTTTAAAATAACAATTATTTACTGAAAAAAAACTAAAGAAATTAAAAATAATTTATTTAGTGATGTGATGTATTTTTCTTAAAAGCTCATGGTTTTTGTTTTTATAAAACAAATATTAAATTAGACTGATGATGGTTTGCACAAAAAAAATTATATTAAGAGTAGCATACATAAGTTTTACTTAGTATAACACGGTATTTTTAAAACTTCATTTTGAGTATATAATATTGTATTTATAACTTGTATTGTACATTTTAGACATATTTATTTAAAATATTTAGGACAAATTATTGTTGTTGCTATGCGTATAATGTACAATATAATATTTATTTTTATAAGATTCAGAGTATTCTCAGAATATTGATATCATCTATATGTCTAAATGATACATACATTATGATGATAATATAGCGTATGACACGTGTATTTTATTGATACACAACTTAAATTTTTTTTTTCTTACAAACCTATAAAATTATATTATTATCCTATAAAATCGCATTAAAAATTCAATACTGGTAACGTTTTTCTTAAAAGATAAACGGTATCTTTTGTACTACATTGCAACGAATTAAATATGAACGTTGATATAGTGAAATTAAAATTTTATTGTCATTACAGCCGTGTCTAAAAATATTGACTCATGCATAGTGCTATATATATATTTTTTTTTGCTTAAATATTTAGAAAGGGAAAGTCAAATGATTATGTATACTTTTATTTTATTGGGAAACAATAATTTTTTAAATGTAAGTTACTATTTCTGTTCCCTAAAAATAATACTAGAGTTAAAAGTAAGAGAATTTTCTTTTTTTCACGATAATAGTCAACAAGTATATAACCTGATAGATAATTGTGGTAGAAGTCGTTTGACACTGTTTTTCCGGTGTGAATCAGATAGTTTTTTTTATGATCAAAACACAATGACCAATGGGTTATTCAAACAATCGGCAGCGGTACCCGACAGACAAGTTCCTGTAGAAAACTAACAAAAAACCAAGTGAAATTAACCTTGGTCTAAGTTTTCATTAAAAAAAGACCATCCATCATTTTATTGTTATGTATGGTGCTATAGTTTGCACTTCAAATAATTGACCTAAAACTATTACTTTTATGATTTCATGTGTAGTAACTTGTCAGTTGGTGCATAACTTTAAGCACGATCTTATTGTTTGAGAACTTGTTTTTAAAAGACTCTCAAACACATAGTTTCTTAGAAAGAGCATATTGACATGAATAACGTTATTATAATGCTGAATGCGTTTGAATATTAAGAAATGATGATATTTCACATAAAAAAAAATTGTGTGTTTTGAAAGAGAAATACTTATAATTTGATTACTATATGATTTTTGATTATATTATATTAAATATTAAATTTATGATAACTATTTTCTTTTATTATTTCAGTATTAATTCTAGTATTTTGATGATTAAAAAAATTTAAAACCTAAAAATTTTTTTTACCAAATACTTAATTTTATTTATTTAATATAATGGAATTTCAAAATTATAGATGAGAATTTTTTTTTTATTTTAGTCGGTAAGTCATTTCACTTTTTNTTTTTCGTATATTGAGCGCCCGACGCTTTTATCACAATAATACTAGTATTTTTTGTTCATAATTATTTTAAAAATTATTTTTAACTTTTTAGTTCGATGTACTTTAAAAGCGTGTTTTTTTAGTTTTTTAAACTATATTTATTTAAGAATTCTCTTCTTACCGTCAAAAATATAATTAGTAAAAATTATTTTCCATTGCCGAGTCGCAATTTTCTCAGATGAAATGATACAGTGTTTACTTTTCGTTAATTTGAAACTTCTATTGAAAATCTGTCAAGTATAATTGTTGATGAAACTAAATATATGCCTACAATTGGCATTCGCGACGGTTAGGTCTTCAGATATCGTGCTGATGTATAACCCGAACAAAAACTTGATAACCTACATCTAAAAATATATTTAAAAATGGTATTGTCCACTATAACTATTAATAATAATGATTGTTATTTTATTTTCTAGTATTTATATCAACTAGACACCTACAAGAATATAATATACTTTTGTGAGTTATGTTATACCGTCTGTTAATGTGACGTTCAATTATACACCATTTATAGGTCATAGGAGAACAAATATTATATTATGCTTTATTATAATTCTTTTATTATAGTATACTTTCATACTGACACGAATACATACATGTATCTATAAATTTAAATAATGTACATTATAATTATGATAAATTTTTCGGTACTCATTTGAGTATTTAAAATATACACATTAAATCAACTAAGTGACATCAATGACTGGTAATAACTAGTCTCAAACATACACTCATTTTGAATTTAACATTGTTTTAAACATCGAATATTATATTAATATTTAATGTAATCTTTTTGGTGTGATAATTTAAGATAAAAGAATCATTAAAAAAAAAAAAGTTATTTTACTCTGCACGATTTGTTTCTGGTGTATAATGTACTATAAAAAATAATACAAACAATTTTCAAACATTTTAATGACCTATATGTTTAATATTTAAATTTACTAACTAATACAGCTATTATTGAAAAAAAAATTATAAAATAAATAATTATCATAACATAAAATTTCATGTAAATATATGTACTTTATATATAATGTAAAGTATAATAATTATACTATACAATAATATATTTTATACAATAATTATTATTGTATAAAAACGGATAGACTGTTTTTTATTGAAAATTTTTTTATTGTTCGTTAAATTTTTCATACGTGGTGTCTTAGGTAATATTATATATTAAGAATTGATCACGTTAGACCAATATTATTTGAAACTAAAATATATTTAATTATATAACTCAAGAATCCACAAAAAAAATATCGCGTTTACGTATTTTGAGAACATGTTACCTGTCGTTTGTTACATTAGGAAATTATACAATATTTTCTAAATATTTTTTTTATTAGACAATACAATTGTGATTTGATATTAGTAAATAACTAACATAAAAACAAATTGTGCTGCTAATACCTATACTAATTAGTATTACGTTTTAGGATTCAGTGTTTTGGGTGACATTTTGTCAGTAGTTAGAATCAAGCGTGACATGAAGCCTCCAATCAACGAAACTGAGTTGATGGCAAGACTAAACAATGTGGACGAACAAAATGCAATGTCAGCTTTAATGGAGCACGCTATGGATAAGTTTATTAGCAATCACGTCATCCGAGTAACCCTCCCTGCTGGTATCACAGCAGCTCTCAATGGTGGTCAAGGACGTTCCATGATCGGAAATACATTAGACATAAACATGTCGAGAGCACTAGGAGAAGGTATGACAATTTTAAATAGTTAGGTACGGTTAATTAAAAAAACACATGTTTCGTCTATTAAAACTTTTATACGAACAAAAATATTATTTACTTTTCACAATAAAAATTTGAATAGCGTAAAATTGAAATTCGTTAAAAAAAAGAAATTAGCAAGCACACCAAAACCATTTGACTTCACTGTATATTTATCCATACGTTTTCTTATTACATAGCAATTACTGTATGACCTCTATGATATGTGACCTGAATGGGTCTTATACAGGCCACCGACCACATAAATTATTATTTAACTATCATTTAACATTTATTAATCAGTGCCTATTTTTAACAAATTTTCTACATTTTAAATTTTATTCATGTTGATGTTGTATATGAATGAATGACTTTGTACATACGTTATAATAAAAATGTATGATTATTTATGAGAGAAAATCATCTTGTAATCTACCAAGTCGCCGAAAATTCATTAATAGGTTCTTATAGTACTAACCAATTAGTTTCGGACTATTATCATTTAAAATATATAGACCAAGAATTATCTTATACATTTTTCGGTTCGCTTAGTTAACAATTCGTTTGAATTAAATGAAATATCTAGTTAAATAATATTATCTGCATTTAAAGCACAATATACTAATAAATTATTTAAGATATTTTGGATTTAAGTTATCATCTTTTAAATAGGCCGAGGTAAAAAGAAGAATAAGAAAATGATGCACATGATGATGATGGGGCTGATGGCAAAGATGGCAGTTATGGGTCCACTAATGATGATGTTGATTAAGTTAAAGGCAATCAAAGCGCTGATTCTCAGTAAACTTGCTTTATTACTTAGTCTGGGTAGCTTAATGAAAGGCAAGAAAAGTGGTGGTTCTTCTGGTAAGTAATCTCTATGTAATACTGTGTTTCTTTACACATAGATTAATACCTAACCAAGTTTAATTAACAAATGTAAAAATAATTATGAAGGAAAAGAAGTGATCATTGTGCATGATAGCCATGGTGGGGGTGCGGATTACGGTGCTGGTACTTCTGCCGGGTGGGTTTCTGGTCATGCAGCAACTGGATGGTCAACCGGCGGCGGTGCTGACAGTTATACAGCTGGAAGCCATTTAGGTGGAGGAGATAACACCTATGCTGGAGGAGCTGACTCCTATTCTTCCGGTATAATAATATAACTTTACATTAGACTTTTGTTTAGAGAAAATAACTTCAAATCTGTTCATAGGAGCTGGTGCTGCTGGTGGCTGGGGTGGTGTAAACAGCCAAAGTGGCGGATGGGGAAGAAAATCCGTAGTACATGAACCTCATTGGGTGGCATACAGAGCCTATATACCAACGAATGAAGATGATAATGCCAGCAAAAAATAGACACTCGGGCCTATTAAGTTATTTATAGAACCGTATTAATTTATTTTAAATAGCGTAAATATTTCAAGACAATACTTTAAATGGAGTTTCGAGCATTACTTGTTAACTTACATGATTTAAGTTTTCTCAATGAAGAATATAGATGAATTAATGTCAATGTGAGATCCTCTGCATGCCTATAATGTATGTCTTGAAACTACGTTGATATTTATTTATTTGTAAATACTAATTAATTAAACTATTTGTACTTTGTATTTATTTTTAATAAATTATGAGTTTATGAAAATATTTTCATTTATAATTTTTTTCTATATTTAAAACTTTTAACATATCAGATCATGAGATAGTAAAATCTCATAAATCAATTATAATATATTTTCTATTTACTGTCATATTTGCCACGGTGCAAAAGTGGTAGGCATACGTATACAATTGAAAGCATGGCAAGACTACAATTAAATATAATAAGCAATATGATACGGTGCTAAACAATAACTATGTGATAAGATTTTTATTTGGACTCCAACACTGGATTCAATTGAAGCATTGGTAATCCGTGAAATGTAACAACCGATTTGTCTGTCAAACAGAATGAACCCCATGTAATGAATTTATTATTATTTGTCTGTTACTCTCTTAGAACTTAAGTTTAATAAAATAATTATGTTTCATTCTACAACTAATTGGATAGATATGCCTTATTACTTTTCATAAAGAAATAATAATATAAGCGGGTTTTACGCTAGTGACCTAAATTGATTTTCAAATTATTAATTGGTAACACATCTAATACAAATTACTATATTAGGATAAACCATATTTTTTGCAAAAATAAGTTAAAAGAATTGTGATCATGAAATTCAGAGCAGAAATAGAAAGAAACGATCCAAACTCCTTTTTCCTCTATTGAAGATATATTTTTTTAACACTATATAGATTAGAAACATATTTTTATCTCTGCAGAAGTAAAAAAAAAACCCAGCACAGTGGGGTCGCAGCTCTAGATGTGGTATAGTTGGGTCCAGTATAAATGATATCTGATAGTGATTAAAATCATAAAAAATTTTAATATTTTAAAAATAATCAGTGCAAAATATCATTTTTAATCTATTTTTTTGATATTTTAAAGTTGATTTTTCGAAATTTTACAATAAAAACCAGTAAAAAAAAAGTTGTTAAAAAGATCTACTAAATTGAGCGTATTATAAAATTTGATTATAATTATAAAAATCCATTGTTTAATTCAGGTGAAACTAAAAATAATTTTTTTTTTAGATTTATGATTTATATAGTATCATGTTACAAAAAAATTTGTAATTTTATAGACTGGTGGTAGTAGTACACACAAATAGAATTAAAAATTAATAAATTACAAAGTAAAATTATTTACTTTTGTAGTTGAAAACTCTTATCATATCAAATCTAATTCGAAGTAATTAATACTTTAAAAATATTAAAAATGAATGATTTTAATAGTTTGTATAGATAAACCTGGTAAAGCTACTTTTTATTAAATTAAGGGATTTGATTTCAATTTTTGAGGGTAATATCATCAACTAAATACGCATTGTAATCATTTACAGAAGAAGAAATTTCTTAATCATGTTAATATAATTTTACTATGTGTTTTTTTTGTGACTGGGATTTATTTTTCTAATCCTCGCATAACCTACTTTTTTCAACGATGTGTCAAATGATTACAATAGATGATACAATTGAAATATTCAGAACTATTTTCCTTGTAGTTATATCCTATAAATATAAAATTTACATGAATCTATTTTACATTAAATATAAATTTATACTTATTTTACTTTTTCAAATTAATGAAAAGCTTTTTTGAATTTTTGAAAATTTGTATAAAAAGTAAAACATTTTCAACTTATATTTTGAAAATGTTCTGGGAATACTGTGTCTTTTAAATATATGTTAATATGAAGGTTATTTTATGTACTAGAAGTTCAAAAAAAAAGTTTGTACCTACGACCTATTTCTGCTGCCACTTCTGCACACAAATTAAACTTTTTCAACTTAATATTTGAAAATTTTCCAGAAATATTGATACATTTATTTTATCTTAAATTAATATTTATGTTATATGCGTTACTATGAATAAAACAATTTCGCTATATAGTGAAAATAGTTATTATATTTAAAAATATGCTATTTCTGTGTTAAGATTCTTGGTATTATATTTTAATTTGTTATATACTGGGGGTCTATTTTTGAATTTTATATTGGTGTACTAATCTGTTTAGTATACTAAAACATGACGTTTTAGTGCAACTATTAGTGTGAAACTAAAAAACCGTATTTTTGAATGTTGGTATGCTAAACATTTTTTATTAGTGTACTAAAGTTTTAGATGATCTTTTTAGAGTGGTATCTACCACACTAATTATGATTTTAGTATACTAATGTTACTGTTATCATTCATCTTTATGTGAAAACTTATATATTTATAACGTTTTCAAATTTATTTAATATTAAATATTAAAATGGAACACCTTCTTAATATAAATTATGTGCAAGTTATTAATAATTTAGAAATAGTTGAAGATAATGGGCAATTAACAATGAAATTTCGTTTAGCGGAGGATCCGTTCATTGGTATGTTACAAAACAAATTACAATATGTAAAATTATCTATTTACATTATTAAATGTTATTTTCTGTAGTTTTGTCCGAAAGGGCTTTTATACAAAAATTTAGACTGACAAAAGTTCTTGCATTAAATTTAATTAATGAGCTACGCCCATATTTAGAACCCCCATCGAGGAAGTCTGCTCTAAGTATAGAGCGCAAAGTATGCAAAATATTGTACAATATTGACTAAACAATAAGTAAAATTTAATAAAATTTTTGTCACGATAGGTACTAACAGCTTTACGATTTTTCGCTAGTGTCTTCTTTGGGCCAACAGTTTCATTTAAAATCTTGGTAATATTTTGCCATAATAATTGGGCATCTTTCATGGTAAAAGATGGTCCAAATTTTTTAGAATTTAATTTTAGATGCTTATAAACAAATTCAATTAATAATTGTTTTTGTTCATAAGTCACACTTATTGACTTTGTTTCCCCTCCATTGTAAAACATTACACAAATTGAAATAAAATATACTGACAAAAAACTCGTGACAAATTTCTTATGGGTAAATTTTGTAGTTATCATAAATATTATTAATGTACAGCCAATATAATTTAACATGTCGCACTAATAATTATTGGTTTGAAATGACATTAGATTAGACGATGTACGATTAGTGCAAGATTTTTAGACTGATAAAAAATAAAATTCAAAAATACGAATTTCCATTAGTGCACTAAAATTATAATCTAATGTTTTAGTGTACTAAAACATTCGCCAATGATTAGTCCAAGCTCAAAAATAGACCCCCTGATTTTAATGAATATTATATAAATCTAATTGACATTGAATATAAAGTTAAGCTTATTTCAATGATTTTATTTTCTTTTAAGTCGAAAAAAGAAATTTATCATTTAAATCAGCTTAAATTATCAATTTTATCAAACGATGAATGCTTGCCAATTCAGTAAAAATCATTGCCTGTGACAATGATTTTATTGCAATGTTTGTTTAATTATTTTTGAGTTAAAGTTTTGATTATGAATAATTCACCAATTTCTTAAAATTAAACACTATTTTCAGATTTTGCATCGACTTGACTCAATTATGCCATGTCTACACTGTGTTACTGTTTTTGTTAAACCTATTCTGATGTAATATTTTTCCTGCATAACACTTTCTACTTATATATTTAAATCAAATGAGTTGAAAATTTATTCTAACTTATAACGAATTAAAAAAAAAATGCAAAAAATTAATCACTACATAGGGTGAAACCCTGTACTTGTAAGATACGAGTGTTATCAACTCGCAATAGTACGTTACTTCCGTCAAATGAGAAAAATGACAATTTAAGCTAGTTAATTTTAGCAATTTCAAAGTTATTTTTCTCAACTTAAAAAAAGCAAAAAAATTTAATAAAATACAAAACCCAGAATTTTAACACAAAAATAGCATAATTTTGAATAAGGTTTTCAACACGAAGACAAGTCCATATTACATAAGCTTTAATTTAAGAGATATATAAATATGTCAGTATTTCCGGAACACTTTCAAAAGTTAAGTTGAAAAAGTTGCCATTTTGAAACCCTTTTTTTGGCTTGGTAAATGATCAAATGTTCACAAAAATAAATCAAATGATAGGTAAATACCAAAGGTATCTATAAAAAAAAATGATATTCATTCAGTCAATTTTAAAAAAGTTATGGCAGTTTTAAGTAAAAAAAATTGAAAAAATGTCGAAAATTAGTGATTTTTAAATTTGTAATTTTTGGGGGAATTTCCCCCGTTTATGGGTAACAATGGAATTTTTAAAATTTTTGAAGGTAATGTCTTCGACTAGATACGATTTGTGATCTTTTGACGTATTGTTCATCAATATCGGTCCAGCAAGAGATGGGATTGAGCGTTCACAGACACAAAAAAAAAAATACATCATATTAAAATTAATACCTTCTCAGCTTCGCATCAAAGCTAAACTCTGATGATTTAATTAGAAAGTATTAAAAAGATGTTTTAAATGCTTTATTAAAAATGTCAAATTATATAGATTTTTATTAGAATAATATAATTGTAGAACTATTATATTAATTGAGCTTAGTGATACATTTTTGAGAAAGGTAATGCCAAAATACAGGTTTTGATAATAAATGATTTATAATGAAATTCAAATAAATTATTTTGTATTAATTAAATAAAAGCCATGAGCATTTTCTTATGGTAAAATTATCAAGAATTAACTAGTTTATGAATTAGATTTAAAAATATATTTTGTTATCAAATTTTTTTTTAATTGATTACATTTTTACAAATTTTTGTAATGTAAATTTTCAACATTTCAACTTTTGAAAAAAATTCTACCAATCAAGATATAAAATGTATAATTTATATTTAATTATGGATAAAAAAAATATATTTTTATAGTTTAACTTATTTGAAAATTTATGATAGCTAATTTGTTAACTCAGAAAATTATCACCAGTGAACTTGATAATTTTAAACACTTCTTCTTCTACTAAAATGCTATACTTGTAGATCTTTTAATTTAATATAATTACTTAAATGTCTTCAAATTATAAAAATAGTAAAATATATGTTGCCATGCGTTAGTTAGTATTAATAAACAAGATGTTTATTGACAAATATAAATCAGTTTGTTGTTAAATTTTAATGAAAATAAATTATTTTTTCGCACTTGTTTACAATTATTGTCACATACTATCATACGATCACATATTACTTGAAAATTTTTTTCAATACTTCGATTTTGTTGTTTACAATATCAAAAAAGATGAAGATAAAGCGCTTTTTTCGGCGGTTGACAAGACTTTTGACATGTTGCGTTTCCAATAAAAATAATCCTAATAAAAGTGGTATAGTATTTTAGCTTAAGACGATTAACAACAATAATTCTCTCGATATCCAGAATTTCAAAGAGTACACAGAAACAATTAACTCATTTATATTAACATATTGTTGTCTATTATTTAAGTAAGACAAAAAATATGTTGGAGTACTCCCCTTATCTTATTTTTTTTATTTATGTAATCAAATATTGTGATCAACAGTGTCAAATGCTTTAGCTAGGTTTAAATAGACAGCTGCGCTTTTTTTAAATTTCATCTAAAGAACTAATTGTGTCTCTCTTACAATGTTTGATCTACGGCATTTTGGACACCATATTAAGATTGTATAAACAAGATTTGGTGTTCATATATTTCGGATAAATATAAGATTTTAGTACCAGGAGCTCATGAGATGACTAACTAGTTACATCATAATTGGGTCTGTCATTGAATTATCTTGATGGCCACTTTAAAATTCGTCGGCAAGAGACTGGACACCATTTCGAAACGCCTAAACGTTTAAAGGCATACATTACTCTTATGAATCCCTGGTACTGAATTTTGATATTTGTTAGATCGATTCGATCTAACATATAATATAATATTAAAACTATTTGGGCGGTATCTCATGAGATCCTGATACAAAATTATTTTCTTGAAAACGTTTAAAAAGTGCCAACATGTATTGTTTAAGCCGTGGTAATAGTACCATGGTGTATATGCCCTTATAAGCAAATGTCACTTAAGAATAGAATGCGAACGCTGACTCCGCTAACTCGGTGTTTATTTATCAGCGTTGGTTGAAATTGGCCGTGCTCAACTTTTGGTAACAGAGACAGTAGTGATTCATTTTTTGTAAGTATGATCGGCTGACAACAGCCGATAATCTAGTAAACCTGATAACTGAAAGCGAATAGCAGATGAAAATATTACCATGAAGCTAGCCGCTGATTTTAAGTATTATACCCGAATTCTGATCAGTGGCAGTTAGTATCAACCTAAAGTGACCTTGTAAAACGACACATTGCTGCAACTACTACTTTGAAATTATATCTATTTAACAAAAAAATTTATTCGGAACATAAATTATTACATATTTTTAAGCATTTTGAAGAGGCAATAATTTTATATTTTATATCCTATACCTCAATGCAAAAAACTCCTCTAAGTACACTACTTTGTTAGTTTGCCGAGAGTAATGCTTATGTTATTTGGTGATCCGATCCTGATTATAATACGATAATTCAAAGTAATCACATCCCTATTTTCAAAGAAATTAATCCCATTAATTTTCTAAGAACAACAATCCTCTAAAATATACTTTAGTAGAAATTTCATATTTTTCAATATTGTGTATATTTAGGGTTTTAAAATTGCTTGAGATTTAATTTTTTTTGTTACAACTTATTTCATCAGTAAAAATTTGAAAAATCTGTGTGTTAAATTATTTAATATGTTATAAGCTAAAACTCATTCTAAAGCTGATAATTTACTCATAAATGTTTCACATGTTGTAAGTTATACGAGATTTAGCGATTCCAATATTCATGAAACTATCATATTTAAATTTTAAAATGACTATTTATAAATTAATAAAATTTTATACAAATAATTTATATAAATAATCAAAATATTATATTTGAAGGTTATGAATCTGTACTAGTGAATGTAATCAACAAAAATAATGGTTAAAGTGTTAAATTATATTAATATATATTAATAAAGGTAGATGTAGTAGAGTTTATACATAACTCTGACAATAAGAAAAACTTTAAATTGATAGCAGTGTTATTAATAATTAACATAATTTTTCATCATCTGCATTAAGTTTTAAGTATATTCATTTTCATATTTAATGAATTGGAAAATTTGTTATTGTTATAAATTGAAATAATTGAATAAATTAACATACAGTATTCTTAAATTTTTATCTATAAAGTATTAAATTAGAAATTATACTTTATCTGTATATTATACAGATAAAGTATTAAATTAGAAATTATACTTTATCTGTATATTATACAGATAATATTTCAACTTTAATATAATACATTTTATTATAATAAATGAGTGAATAACAATCATTTTTAAATTAAGTGTACTGTAAAAGAGAGTCAAACAAATGTCATATTGAACTTAATGTTTAAACAATATTAATAATAAAATTTAAAATATTATTAATTAGAAGTTATTGATGAAAGAAGCGAGTTCCACGTGACACCTGATGAGTTGCAAGAAAATGTGCATAATTTATGCATTCCTGAAATTGCACCAGAAGAAAATTGGATTATTGAACGTTCGACAGAGTTCAGAGTAACATCTGTAGTAAATGTGTTGGAAAATAAACAAAAGAGTTATGAAGGTAGTGTACTCAGTGTAATTCCTGAGGAGTGTGAGGAGTTGCAAGAAGACGTGCTAAGTATTTGCACTTCTGAAATTGCACCCGAGGAAAATTGGATTATCGAACGTTCGACAGAGTTCAGAGTAACATCTGTAGTAAATGTGTTGGAAAATAAACAAAAGAGTTATGAAGGTAGTGTACTTAGTGTAATTCCTGAGGAGTGTGAGGAGTTGCAAGATGACTTGCTTAGTAATTGCACTCCTGACATTATACCCGATCAAAATTGCACTAGCGAACGTTCGACAGAGTTCGGAGTAGCATCTATAGAAAGTGTGTTGGAAAATAAAGAAGAGAGACATGAAATCAGCGAACACAGTGTAATTACTGAGGATTGTGAGGAGTTACATGAAGACGTGCGAAGTATTTGCACTCCTGACATTAGACCAGAGGAAATTTACACAAATGATCGCACGGAAACGGGTGAAGAATCGGCTGTTGAAGGAACTTTCATTGAAACGCGTACGGTTAAAGAAGGTGTTGTACGATATTTTGGAAACAAGGAAAACTTTGGCAGGATAATTTCATATGATGGAAAATGCTATACGTTCAAAAGAGTAAGCACATTATAATATGACTATCTTCATAGTAAAATCACGTAATCGACATTTTGAAATTTTTTTTTTCAAAAAATATATACTTGGAATATAAACGTATTTTATGTATTTTTAGAATAAAAAGTAGGGTATTTCGCTACTTTTAGAATAATTAAAAAAAAACAACATACGTGGTTTTGGTATGAAATCGATTAGTTCAAATAATTATAAAAAAAACGCTAAAATTAAAAATTTCTAAGTTTAAAAATACTTTATTTTAGGTAGATATAATTGGTTTCAATCGATATTATAAAACTCCTCAAAATGTGAAATTTGTCGTTTATGATTCATACCCAAATTGGGCGCATGAAATAGAGATAATGGGAAATCCTTATGTACAACTGTAATAATAAAATGGTATAACAGTAAAAATAATCAAATTAATATTGCATTTTTTTAATCCACAGATGCTATTATTGTTTAAAGAATAAACATTTAAAAAGGAAGTGTATGCAATTAGAGATTGACTCTTATAACTTTTACTATCCCTTTATACAAATCTAACTTCATAAAAATTGATAATGTTACTGTACTATAATTTACATTATATATATTTCATTTGTTCCTATTTACAAAATATGTATCATAATATTTTGGCGATAGTTTTTGTAATAATATAAAAAAATAACTTTAACAAAAAATTATTATATAAATTGATCTCTTTGGAAGATATTTTTGTTAACATTTTATTCAGAACTTGCTAATAAAAATAATTACTTGAATTTTCATTATTATTATTGTTAATAGTGTTTAATATTATTTATTAAGTTTAAACGTATGGTAAGAATTTTAGTACAATTTCTTTTTTAAATGCTTAATAAAACAAAACACTAACTTTGAAAATAAATATAAAATAGTTTAATAATAACATCCAAATGTATTGTACATGAACAATCATATAAAACAACCAAATCTTAACCAGTATGAAATCGGCAATTTTACAATTTTCTTGGACTTTGCGATTGCGTTGACCTAACAGATAATAGTCAATGGCTAAAAAAGGTAATTTTTAGTTATAATATAACTTTTATAAATCTTTAAGATTGCAACTTTCTAGGTTATTTTTACTATTCTTTTACGTAATGCATCATTATAGCAAACAGCTTGTATTATTTAAGTTAATATGTAAATTTAATATTGTGGCAATTTATACTAAAAAAGTTATATTAAATTTATACACATTGTAGGATATTTAAGTACTTAAAATAATTGATAAAAGTGAAGTATTATAAATTTAAATTATATGAATTAAATGTATCAAAGAGAACATCTCAAGTAATTGTATATTAGTAATCATTTAAAATTTATACTTTTAAAAAATTAAAAAACTGGATATTATTTAGACTGTCAATATATAACTATATCTTTCAATTCATTTCGAAAATATTTAATGAATTGCTTTATATAAACATGTTTCTTAATATTTTAGTGGTAGTTTTTTCAATTATAGTAAAAGAAACTGAATTACTATTATATGATTTTTAATGCGATTATTGTACTTAAAAAGATCTAATGAACAAAGCACTATTTTTAAATTAACGATAAAATGGTACGATGATAGTTTATAGACAATTTCATTTCACACAAATAATTATATAGGAAAACCCAACCATAACCAGTATGAATCACACAACTTGTTATTTTTTTTAATGTTTTTAATAATTAATAAATAAAAATATTATAACTCATGTATATTACATAGACAGATTATGTTTTTTGATTTTTGCAAGAATTGAAAATAATAAAATAATTTTTTGTAAGATTTATAACGTCTATAAAATAACGAAAACAAGAGCGTATTATGAAAAACAATCTAATAGAAAAACAAAGAGCCCAACATTTGATCAATATTCAAATGGAAAATTTAATAACTATTTTAATTTGTTACTATTGTTTCAAAATTTTCAACTGTATATATACATAATAATTACTGATATATAATTTTCAGTTATTTAATTTCCTTCATCTTTTTGTAAATTCAAATAATTTTGATTAAATAATTTTAGATTAGTCAAAATTACAAACGGTTCCTTTGTTCAAATGAAATGCATGTATATATGGAAAATCATCAAAATTGAAATTAAATATTAATTTAATAACAATAGTTTTAACTGTCATTCAAATTTAGTTTTCTATTATACAGGGTGGCCCACCNTATTGAGAAAAGGACAGAAGAAAACGCTATCTTTTCAATATACTTTTGAATGAGAGTAATAAGTAATAATTGCCTTATCTAATTTCTTATCATGGTATTAATGCCAAGTTTGTAATGTATACACATTATCGTCATATGTATACACAGTAATCATGAAAAGATAGCGTTTTCTACTGTCCTTTTCTCAATACATATTTCAATGTTTAATACTGTAAAATAATACATGAAAATTCAAATTTTCACAAACTTCAAAACGCTACAGAATATTCAAAATATTTTTTCACCTATAAATGAATTTAAATGATTACTACGTTTATTATTTTTATGTTTACCATTTTATTGATCATTGTTATACTACATATTTTTTTTGTTCTCTTATTGTATAGACATTATTGCTTAAATAATTTAAATTTTTCTATGCTTATTTTTTTTAATATTAGCGTATTGATTTGCATATTTTCTTATGCGTTTGTTTAAAATACAACAAATAGTCAAAAACTTCCGTAAAACAAAACTATAATTAAAAATTCATAACTAGGTCAGTTCTGTTTATACAGATTTGTTTAGAATTTTCATTTTTATTGATTAATTATTTTTCATAAATTAAAAATGATTTTAATAAAAAAATAGTTAAACTTTAAACTAATTTTATAAATGTTAAGAGTTGTAAAAAATTAAATGAAAATATAATTCTATATACATTATCACTAACTGTTATTTATTTTAGGAACGCCACGTGACGGTAATTTCTAGCCTGGTGGTAAAGAATAATACTTATTTACATATTTACTTGTATTTTGTACTTTGTACTTTGTAGGCTTTATAAAAGAACAAGCACGTAATGGTTTAACCCTTTTCTTCTTAAATTTGTTATTATTCATTCTATCAATGGGTTGTTGGTTAATAAATACACTCACGACGAAAAAGTAAGTGTTATTTATAGCTAATTTTGTTAAGTTTGTCATAGTATGAAAAACATTTAGGTAAATAATCCGAGTATTCAATAATTAACATTTTATACAATTTTTAATATTATTATAATTTTAATTGTAGCGTTAATTTTGGTACTTTTACTCTTAAGTATTATAGTATTGCAAAAGTTTTATGTATAGTTAAAACTACTATAAATTAATGATATTAGACTGTAATGAATACAAATAACGCGTTAGAAAATGTTAATAATTTAACTGAGAAGTACTATAATTTTGTACAGTATTTTTTTCATTTATATTGTAAGTAGTGTGTTTATTAAAATAATTCGGTTTACTTAAAAACAATCTATTATATTTTCTCATTTCATTTATTTAATATATAGGTAATATTACGCAGAATTATTATTAATTAATTAAACAATGAATATACGTGGAGTTGCATCAACTGGAAATCAACCGAATAGAAGTACTTCATACTCACTGGGCCAGTTAGATATAAATCAGACGCTGTCTATATTATATGGACATCGTTCAATAAGAACAGGACCTTCCCCAGTTGCTAACAATGGAAAATATTGGACACCAAACAAACGCCGGGAAAATGCGGAAACAGTGAAATATATTAAACAGGTTGTTCAGGCCTGTAAAATAGCAAAGCCTTGGACAGATGAACGAGCTTCGCAAACAATATCTTATACACATGAAAGCAAAATTAAACTGGATCAACTACCTCAAGTAATGCAAAAAGTATGAAGCTTTCAGTATTTATTTTACTTTCATTAAAAAAAAGGTAGTGTAAATCAAATACAAATAGCGAAGTGTTAGTAACTAAAAATCGTTATTATAAGTAACGTTAAAACTCAAAGAAAATTTTACGCAAATTTATTACATTGATATTATAGTATTTCGAATGAATGAATGATTATAATACGTTCATAAAATAAAAAGTATGTAAAGTAATTGGTTAAACATTAATTTGTTCAAATCGATATCCCCATGTAAAAACATGTTGTGTTAGTAACTTTTTCATCTTGAAAATTGACAGTATAATTAATCTTAAAAAAAATGTTTGTGACGTAATATTGTGATGATAACTAAACACAATTTTTGGAAATATACATAAGTTATATGAACAATTAAGTTTAAAAAGGTTACATCTTTGTGATTGCTTACACTCCGATTTCTTGTCTAAAATATTGATTATTTTTACTTTCGCTGCTCGTGAATAAATCATATATGTAGAAATATATGTTTAAAGCAGACAAAATTTTATTTTTACTTTAAAAAAAAAAATTCTTCTTATACAAAATACATAATTATATTATGAATTAATTTATAAAATTATATTTTAAGTATTTAAGAGAAAATAAATAAATGAAAAAAAAAAAACTTTCAATGCATTTAGTTACACGAGAGTATCCATTATTTTAAACTCAATTTACAGTTAAACATACATTTAGACCGAAATAAAGTGTATATATTCTAAAAATGGTTTTTAGAAAACCGTTATAACGACTTTAAGATTCATATCACCAAAGGAGTTGTTAGATCAAAATTAAGGGATACAAATTATCATAAATTTACTTTTTGATAGGTACTTAGCTTAGTAAATTGTGTTATGTGGCGTGCAAATAAGTGAAGTAAGACTATTATATGCAAATAAGTTAGGGTTTTTAAGTGTTTTGGTCTTAAAATAGTCACACGTGTTGTATATTTTACATTTCGCGTGATGGTCCGTCATAAATAATAACATAGAAGAGTCGTCCTTTAATAAGTAATCTTTATCTTATCTATTTCTGTGATACCTTTAATAAATCATAACGCCTGTAATTTGGGAAGAACTCTACATTAATTACAGTAGTTTTGTTATTATTTAATGCAGCTATAATTTTTAAGTAAACATTATCTTTAAAACAATAAATATAGAATTTAAAGCAGAGCTGGAAAATGTTTTGAAAAAATGCATTTAAAATATAAAACATATTCAATAATCTAAATTAATAAGTAAAACATAATATTAGAATTAAACACATTTAATTAATGTTATTTTTGTTAACGATAATTAGAAAATTTTATCATAGTATAACAGCTTTTTCTAAATGTTTACAGTAATACATTTTTTGTTTGCATAGAATTAATTAAAGTATCCCAATTCATTATATCTATATGAGTTAGGTATAAAAACATGTGTTGTTGCCCTTATGTACCAATGACGTTACAATAAATTAACGATGATACTTGTCATATAATAATTATTAAATTTTAGTAACATACGGACGTTATTATTTATAATTGTTTTTATTATATTTTTTTAGCTTATTCATTATATTATTATATTTTATATTAATATAATTCATGAGCTTTAAAGAAATAAATGAGATAAAATAATCATAATTATGATTGTTAATATACAACTTTTATTTTAGATACTACGAAATAGAATAAAAGATAAAAATTACCAAGATATTATAAATCAGTGGGATTCAAGTGAATTTGTTAATGATTGTCTTTTTTGGCACAATTTCTATAGACGTTTTCATGGATCACCCAATTTAATTTTAAGCTCAAATGTAAGCGTCAAATATATAATTAATCTGAATTGACTAATATATTACATTGATCATTGTGAAAGTTCTTAAATTATTACTTATAACATAACAATTGATGAATTTATTTGTAAACTTTCCAATCTATATAGTAAATTGAATACATTGTATCAACAAAGTTAATACTTAATTTTCAAAGTTTTGAATTCAAATTGTTTCATAAGAAAATTAACTGGTTATTAATGAAATTCAGAAAAAATTACTACTATTTTGTGTTACAACTTTTAAACAGGAACTGTATCTAATTTATATAATAAAAATGAACATGTAAAGTTTTAAACATAAAAAATATAAATACATATACATATACATTTATAACCCATATCAAATATTTTGGAAAACAATTTGGTAAATAATGTGGTAAAAAAATCAAAAATATTAAAATACATATTATCAAAAAATTTAATCAAATAAATAATTCAGTTTTATATTTAACAGTAAATCATACTTAAAGCAAAATAAATTTTGTTGTTATGAATAATATATTTTTATACTACCAAATTATTATTTTTAGTTATGTCAACATGCACAAGACTTGGCTAATTATTTAGCCCATACGGACACATTTGCGTATCAAAATCAATCTAAGTATGGGCAAAGTTTGTTTTGTAGAAAGTTATTAGATTTCACCATTGAGACAAATGGTAACATACATTAATAAATTTTTAATTATTAAATATTTTTTATAAAGTAATTTAGACGTAAATTGTTAATCATAGAACTTTTAGGCGATTTTTAAATAAGAATCTATTTAGTTTTTATTATTTAAATAATAAATAATTATAATAAATATATTTATCCTCAATAATTCACTGTATTTTGACTTTTGTTATGATAATTATTCACTAATTTTAGGTAAAGAAGTAGTACGACATTGGTATTCCTCATCTAAAGTTTTTAAGCCTAGAAAAAATTCTAGTATGTTTTCGGCTAATATAAATTCAGGTATTTCAGAGGTTTTTCTTTTTATTACATTTTTATTTATTATCCACGTGAGTTTATTAACTTGAAATTATTATAGGTCCATTTACTCAACTTGTTTGGCGTGATACAAAATATTTGGGTGTTGGAAGAGCATGTAATAAACTTGGTAAGGAGTTTATTGTAGCAAATTATTTACCAAAAGGAAATATAAACGGACAATATTTAAAAAACGTACATATCAATAAACTTTTCACAGTTATAAATCAAAATGATCAATAGTTATTGTTTCAACAACCAAAAAAATAACAATTTGTTTGTACTTTATTGTAATATGTGATTACTTAAAGTATTTCTGTGACAATTTTTTAAAAGGTGATCAAGTCATAAAAATTGGGTTTTAAAATTATTAATGATAATGTCATCAATAATTCCGTCTTTATACACAATGTATAAAAAGAAGGCTGTCATCGATCAGCTACCAATAATTAGATTTCTATTTTATAATTTATTCTTGTTAATTAAAGATAGTTGTTTTCAATAAGATTTNCTATTTTATAGTTTATTCTTGTTAATTAAAGATAGTTGTCTTCAATAAGATTCAATAAAGTTTAAAAATTATCCGCTTGTTTTTGATAAAAATGACGTATTAGCTTTTAAAAATAATTATTAATTTATAATTGTATTAAAGATATAAATCGTAAAACAACTAATGACTTGTGCGCCACAGTTATTAAATAAAAAAAGAAATCATATTACAGTGAAAAGTTAACTAAAACAATATGAAATATTTATGTTGTTATTTATAAATTTAACTAACTGTTATAGTTTATTTTTACATCTTCCGAAATTGATTTATTTTATTTTTCCAATAAACTATATATTATTGTTTTGCTTAAATATTTTCCTTAACATTCTTACCTTCAATTTTAAAATTTATTTAGGAACTTGAATATGATAATACGAGGGAAAATGAGTGGTTGTGGGTTGGGTTGAGTTTTCAAATATTTTCACATTCAAATGTTTACGCCTTCTTATAATTTGAATTACTATGTTGTCATGCATAATGTATTATCTAACCTAAGTGCCTGCCTAGCATATTCGTTTACGGGATGACATGGACTAACTAATTATATTTATTTAAAATAAAAATAATTGACAGGGTTAAACCGAATTCCATATTTTCTTATTAAATACCAAATTAAGTGCATTTAAGAAAATTTACTTTATAAAAGTGTTGTAGGTATATAAATAGATTTTTAATGTAGAATAAAATTTTTAGTAACAAACGTTTGTTGTGAAGTTTATAACAAATAAGAAACATGATCAACAATTGAAACATAAAATATTAAATTATAATAACGTATTTCGTAAAAGATAAAACTAAACTTTAAAATAAGTTTCAAAAAATTATATTATAAAGTTCAAGCATATTAAATTAATAATGTAGCGTAGCATCAACAAATATATGTTATTTGAATGTCTTATATGATAAGCGTCCTTTTGTTATTCACAATTAACTTTTGATTGCATGTTTCAAAATACTTACTTGTTCAATATTTTAAATCAAAGCCAAAGACAAGATACTCGCTCCTCTATAACTATTTGAAATTTTGATGTCGACAGAAAACAATTTTTCGGTGAAGTATTGAGCATAGCTAAGTACATTTCCGATTTGATATCCAAATTAAAGAGTTTCTTTGAAATTGCAAAACATGTGTTTTATATAACGTTCTATTAATGCTGATTTTCTGTTAACTCTTCTATTATACGCTTATTTAATTAGTACGTTACACAGTCAGCTGTAACTTATTAATTTTTTGGAAGTGAATTTATAAGACCTTTTGTTACTAGTGTTCAACACATAGCTTAACTTAACTTGTTCTTCTATAATGTTTCCCCGGTATGGAAAATTATTCATAACATTTTAAGACTCTCTAAAAGTTTGGTTATTAATCTTGATGCTTGAACAGTTTTTTCTTTTTTTTATAAAGTCAATTTCCTCTTTTATCCTTTCCTAAATAAATCGATTTCCTATTTTAAATCTAAGAAAAAAAGACTGATTACTGCAAATATTTTGAACGTCAAATGTACTATTTGGAAATTCGTCAACGTTTATATTTTTAGTATCTACTTGAATATTTATTCACTAAACATATTGAAATTTTTTCAAAAAATAAGCGTTTTTATAAAGTTTAAGCTATACATTTTACAAAAATAATTGTGTAAGCTATTTAACTTTTTTTTATACTTATGAAATGTATCAAAATTATGCATTAAATAAGACAAAATTTACTATTATAATGCATTTACCAACGATTAGATAAACATTCTCTCAGATAATGAGTAATATTCTAAAAAAATTTAAATCCGATGAATTTTAATTTAAGGAATTTTAACATGGCAAAATAGAATCAATTTGTTTAACTTTATTACATATTTTTTTTTATATTTAGCTGTTAACTAAGTCTTTAAAAATAGTTGAGTACAGTCGGGATTCAACGTAGTTACACGAGTATAGATTATACTATTATTAAATGAATTGTTGAAAATAGGAGAAGACAGTATTGGTTAATACAAATAAATATTACAGAAAGTGTATTAGGAAAGAATTATAAAATTATGTTTTTTCTCTTTTCCGCCAATTTCTTATTGCATATTATTAATTGGGTGGTTTTTTTTTAATAATATAGTACTTTTAAAACTTTAATTTTAGTATAAGTTAAAAGTTGTCAAATGTTTTAGAATATTTTGAAAAGTTGAAAGAAAAGAAATTTTTGAATATATATGGACTCATCCATATTAGGATTGTTCTAAGATTTATAATTGTCTTTTAAGAACATAAACTAGAGTAATTTATTTAAAAAATATTTCTATAAAAAAAAAAAAGATAAAAATTTTGTCCATGATACTTTACAGTTCGACACAAAACTTTAAAATTATAAGTCAAGAGCGATAAATAAAAGTGCTCGTATCATGTTTTTCATTGTTCAAAAATTATTATCCTATTCAAAAAACATGTTTAAAATTGTACAATTCTTATTTACAAAGCTCAAGTATTTTAAATACATGAAATATTGATTGGTCTTGAATCTATTAAAGGCAAGGTAAATAAATATAAATATTGGATTTTCTTTATAATTTTACTTAATACGTTCTTCCGAATTTATTTTACAATTTTTAAAAAGCATATAGTTTTTATTACATATAATTAATTCCAACGTACATTTATAATTATGTTTGATGCAATATATTTTATTAATAATATTAAAATCATGATAGTTTACTTTATACAAAATTGAATGTCAAAAAAATAAATCAATAAAATTATAAGTACAAATTTATTTTTGTAATCTGGTAAAATGCACTACATATAGCTTAATTTAATTAAAACTAATAACCCTTTGAAATTTCCTTGTATTTTTATAAGGTTTGATTTCTGATGTTAATGATTTTAAAATTATGTAAATATAGACTTCACGTTTTAAAAATTATAAAAAAATTATAATTTACATATAGTATTCTATAGTATTCTTTATTTAAATTTTAATAAATAAATAAATAGCTATAGTATCAAATAAAGTTGAAATATAATTTTTATAAATATAAATTATTTTTTATAGGATTTTTAATATTAATGAACAATATAAAATAAATATAAAATATTTTTTCTGGTAATTATTTTAAATTATCTTGATATAATTTGTTAGCTTAATTATATTATGAAAATAGCTGTACATAAGGTTGATTATCATCGTCGTCGCTCTATCGGTATATAAATTGGTGTTTTATCTGATGTGTGAATGCGATACACAATGTGGTCAGCTTCTTCGGAAGTTGTTGGCTGTTGAGCATTATTTATGGACCTTCGGTAAGTGGGATTATTTTGAGAGGCGGCTGCATGTATATCGTGATCGTTTGTGTGCGAGTGGCTGTACACCGGTTTTGTGACGATTTCGTAAGTTGTGCTTTTTGGTTCTGAATGACCACCTTTGAAAGAAGATAGACCAGATAGAAGTAATGATAATAAAGCGGTCATCAAGGCTTTTCCAGCTAAAACGGCGATGGCTTTCATACCAATGACTAACAAAGTGGCACCAGTTACCCATCCGGCCAAAAGGATCGATTGTGCGTACTTTTGTTTTTTACCTCTTCCTAAAAAAATAAATAAATAATAATTATTAAAAATTATTGATTTTAATGATAAAAATATAAAATAAAATAAAACGTATGCGGGGATTAGTGCGAAAATCATGCAAGTTTATTTTTAGACAAACATTTACTATGAAGTTAAATTATTGGATTAAAAAAAAATATATTTTATCAATTCTTTATGAAATTAAATTATTTTAGATGACATTTATAAAAAGTTTATGAAAATTGACCTACATCACTTTTGTTTTAAGCTCCACTTATATAGATAAAAATGCTATTACTTTATGCAATATTCTCTTTATTATGAACACTGTTCATTGAACAGTATATTTTATAATTTACAATTATTCTTAACATTTCACACTTAATTTAAAAAAAAAACACACACTTTTATAATAATAATGCATTTAATTACAACATAACCATCCGTTTAATCCGTAAAAAACTGTTCGTTGAAAATTTTAATTATAATAAACCATTTAAAAATAAATATATTAAAATAAATTACTAATTTGTTTAAAATTATTTTACAATACTTTAATATTTTTTATTACTTAAATATTTTGTATAAAATTTGGTTTGTCTTAATTAATACAAATTAATTATATTACATAAAGAACAATTAAATTTAATTTAAATATTTTTAATCATGAAAACCTACCAGATTGTACGGAAACATCTGTTGCAACATCACTAAATTTTTGTAAATTTCGTGCTGTTTCATCGTCTAAAAGTTTAATGTTTAGCATGAGACTGTTAAAATAATTGTTTATTTTGTTAGCTAAATATCCATCTAAATTATCAGATAGTTCACGTCCTGTAGTTAAATATGGAGCTGTTGAGTCTTTGATTTCAGAAAGATTAGAGTTAGTTACTGTAATTCCAGGCATTAACGAATAAGTTCCATTTGTATTTTCTAAACGATCTACTAAGTGTACCAAAGCCAACTTGACACACGTCACGTAATTTTTTGATATGCATCGTTTCCACATTATCTAAAAAATATAACAAAAATAATTTTCTTCGTTAAATTAATAATTGCCACTTTAAAAACCATGATCAAATAATATTTGTAGTATAAATATAAGATGCAATGGAGAAAAGCAATTTTTTTATTAAACTTGTATTAAGTAATTGATTTTTTTTTTGAACGGAGATTTAAATAATTCTATGGCTAGCTAAGGATCATTAAATTTATTGTTGGATAATCAAAAACCTGTCAACATTAATTAAAAATGGTTTTAAATTTTTGAAGACTTCAAGAAAACATTTTATTTTTTAGCGAACATCATTTTTTTTTTTTTTATTAATTGTTGTTTATTTTTTTCAATTTGAAATATTATAAATAATGAAAAAATTTAATGTAACATAACCTTTATCCATAATCTCTCTAAACAAAGAAATACAGCAATATTATTAACTTTTTATTGCTACAAAAATAATATTCTTTTTTTTTTTAAGTTTAACTTGCTCAATATTTAACATAATTATGGGAAAACGGTAAACTGTTGTAGGTATTGATGACATTATTTACCTATATTTAATAATACATAAGCATTCTTTCAGATAAATTCTTCAAAAATTTGATTATTAAAAGAGTATAGGTATAATATATTCCTATGAACACATTTCGTAGTGCTTTCCACCAATTGTCCTAAGTATTGGAAAATATCGAACAACCTTTATGACATGCATTGTTAGCTACGTGACGAGTAAACGAGCACGATCCTACTTTTAATAATAACAACAATACATTCATACAACATTAATTCATTTTTATTTTTTATTTTTAAACGACAGTTGGTCATACTTTGTTGCTCCAAATCACAATATTTTCTTAACTTTCCCAATAAAAAATATTATCATCTTAAATACATTCACTAAATATTTTTTGGAACAACGCAATATAATTGTAATATTTATATTTATTTAAAAATGTGTGACTGATAAGATAGCCAAGGAAGTTTATCCAATAGAAATTCGGTTTATCGTATCAGTAGATCAAACGAACCATGAACGAGAAATAGATTTAAACACAATAAAAAACATTATTCTATTTAATGGACATTTTTATTATATTTATTAAAATTTCAAAACAAATTTCAAGTATCAAAAACTATACCCTATGAAAATGTATACAAAGAATTTTAATACTTTATTAATTTTATTATTAATCAATAACTAGTTTGGAGAAATAAAATAACATCATAATCATAGAAAATTTGAAATGGCAACTAAAATTTTGTTATAACTTAAAATGTTTTATTATATATAAAGTACATTGTAGATTGTATTAATAAATTATTGTTAGCATTTTCTTAAATAATAAAATTAATACATTTCCATTTGTTACATTAGGGTTGTTCGGTGGTAAATAATTAAATTAGATTTTGATGTGTTGTTAAACACATTAGATGTATAAGAATAATAGATTTTTCAGCAAAAAAAAAAAAAATCAAGTTATTTTTGATGTTTCGAGTTTTTTTCTTACTGAATAAAGAAAAAGTGCGCATAGGTAAAATCCTCAAAAATCTAAGAGACATGTTCACATGTATAATTGAATAACGGATGACAGTTGGAGTGGTGCGTGTAATTGTATAATGGTCACGTAGGTATCTTAAATTATATTTCTGACTTTCCAACCCAGTTTTTTAGTGACTATTATAAAAAATCTATAATTTTACATTTAATATAGCGTTCAAATAGTTATCAGTAACGAAAATAGTTGTTATTATACATAATCTAAACCGTAGATCCTCTGTAGTTAATAATGTTATTATATCAGAGATTTATTTAGATTATTTTCATTATAATTATCATGAATAAACATTTAAATTTATTTAAAAAAAATATAAACGTTTATGATGTTTCTTTTTTCAATACAATTGTAAGTAGTTATAATTATTATTGAACGTATCAATTGTTTTAATATAATGTAACAAGCTCTTATTTTATTTCGTCAAATCTTATCTTAAAAAAAAACCAAAATAAGATCAATGTATCTGAACACTATCTAATTTTTATTTAAACTGGCGATATACAGAGTATTTTTATTAATATCAGGCACTTAATTTTTCTAAAAATAATAATTATATTAAGGAAATTCTTTTTGTTATTTTTTAGTTTTGTAACTTCTTGATTTATCAATTATTAAGTATTTTTTTAACTTATCTCTTATATCTTAAAATGGTATACATTTAATTTTTTCAAATGGAAACATACATAATTAATTAGCTCGTTTATTAGATAATGATCTAACTAAGAAAATAACTTATCCAAAACTATAAAATAGTAGTAATTAATACCATTTAAAAATATAGGCCAAAGGTAGATATAATTATTATTTTAAGAGAAATTAAGTAGCTAATGTTAAAAAAATCACTCTGTATGACTATGTCGGTAATTTATCAGTTTGATATTGAATACTTATTAATAGGTGCAAGTAGTGGAGTAGCATTTTGTTTCATTGAGATATTCTTGTTTTACTACATTTTTACTTTAATTAAAGTTAAATTTTTTTTTCAGATAAATATTAATTAGGAATAAGACAATATTTAAATTTAATTATATATGTACTTTTTAAACGCCCTATTCTATTTCGTCTTACAAATTTTTATATGAAATCGATTAATTGAATCACAAATTTTAAAAAGAGCTTATCTTGGAAAATTGAAATAACTTAAAATTCTGTTTTCTACGAAATTTTATTTAAAGAAACCATTAAAGATGTAACATAACATTTAAGAGTTACTGAACAAATTTAGTACTGAATTGCAATGGAATAATAATTTTTCAATTTTTAGTGTTTCTTAAAAATGTTTCAAAATCCGAAAGGAGCACTTTTCAAAATTCATGATTAAATTACTTCGAATAGAAAATCACCAGCTATTTAGATATAACGGTTATATCTTGTCAACTTTTAAGATTTATATTTAAATTTTGTTTAAGTTATTCTTTATAAAATTTAATATATTATTCAATTTTTAAGTTACAATCTCAACAAATATAGGAGTTTCCTTTTTTTTTTGATTAGTGAGAACATAATTTGTTACCGTGAATCAGAAAAATAACGCGTTAAACGGGTATCATTTGACTTGTTATGATTTTTTTTTTTTTTTTTTTGAACATTTTGAATGTGATCATTATATTATTTACTCAGTAGGAAAGTAAAGTATAAGTTGAGTCAACGATAATGATCCTGTACCATATTTTCACTTATAAAAGAAGCCTAGGTAACTATATTCGAGTAAAAGATGTTTGATAAATATCATAAGATGAACAATACAGTAAATATACGATATCAATCAAACATGACCTTATTGTAGTAAATCTTAGTTTCATACGTGATAAAAACACACGTAGCAGATAATTATTTTGTAAGTTATAATAATATTATTTTCATTATAAAATGACGAAGCACAGCATTAACCCGTTTTCTTCTGTAAGATTAGAAACCACAATATCATATTGTATCACTGAAGATTTTCGGCAATACTCTTGAACTATTAGCACTACAATATACTAAGTAATGCATGTAATAAATTATTCTCACAGATGGAGTTCAAACAGCAAATAGCTTCACATAAAACAAAGTGAATCCCATCAAAGTTATAAGTTAAATTATAGAATTATTTTTTATAAAAAAAATTAAGAATTAAATGTTTTGCTTACAAATCTAGGTCTTTTATGAGATAGAAAACAGTGTCAAATTTCCTTTAACAAAAGATATGTGGTTCTGTCGCTAAGTAATTCTAATTTTATATGATATACAAGCTGATAATTGTTTATTTTAAAGTGATTACTTTATGACACAAAAATATGTATAACTATTTTTATTAAATAATATAAAAGCCTTTTTTCTTATATTACTTAAACCACACACAAAAAAAAATAATAATAATAATACTTGAATTGTCTATTTAGACACTTACTCAATTTATCTTTAAGCTATCAACAAAACTAATGTAAAAGCATTAACTTATCTCAATATTAATTAAATTTTACTAACTATTATTGTTTTCATTGTTATTAGAGCTTCTGTAGCTCTAGCCATTAGCTTCAATTATTATTATTACTTTTATATTTACCCTTATATATATATATATATTCTTACCATTAAGTTAATATTTACTATGGTTCATAAAAATAAATCAAATTTAAATCTGTACACTTATTAAAATGTGGTATTTAATTCATAATAAATTACACTGTATTTATATTATTTATATTAGGACATATAAAACTCTTTTAGTATTTCTATACGTTTCTATACTCAACTAAATATTTATTTCATACATAAAAGCCATTATACATAATTATAATTATATACATAATATTTTGTATTAGATGATTTAAATAATTAAATATTTTTTCAAAGTTACAAATACTTTAATAACATTTTAAAAAGAAGTACCAAAATCAATATCTGTAACCGAAACGCCTTTTAACATTATTTTGTAATTATTTTTTAATTAAACTAGTATTTATATAAATATTTTAAATTTATTAAAAATTTAAGAGGCTTAGAATTCACTGAACGTTTTTCGTAAGATAACAAACGTTGATCATTGATTGATATTTTGAATGACCTTTTGTTAAAAATATAATAAAAAATACTATTATTCTTTGAATAAAAGACTGTTTATTTCTTTTTTATTTATCCAATTATGACGATAGAATTGTCGAAATTGTATCCAATAGATTAGTATGATCCATTAAAATACTTGATGTGCCAGTTCTATATTATAATCTATTGTTACTCAAAATATTGAACTATTTTACAGTCAAATAAATAAGGATACATTATTCTAGAGATTTCAAACATTAATTATCTATTAGAGAAGACCCAGGACCCGGTGGATCGATGCAGTTGCCAAGGATTTAAAAGCCAAAGACCAGAATTTGAAATATGAGTCGATTTATAATAGAAAGAAATGGGAAGACCTGCTGAAGGCAGCAATGGACCTTAATGGACCGGTAAGCTAAGAGGAAAAAAAAGAAAAATAATTTATTATAACTGAAATGTGAACCTATAAATCAAAATTTTTAGAAAACATATGATTAAACCAGTGGAAAAAACAAGATACCAAGCTCAATAAAATAAAAAATATAATTACTAAATGGAAAAACATAGAATTCTCGAGAAAAGACAACACGATAATACAGAGACTGAGAATAGGACATACGAAACTAACTCATTGCCATCTAATGGAAAAGAAAGATCCTCTTATATCCGAAACGCGTGGAGTAAAAACCACAGTGAAACATATATTGATGGAATGCCAAAGACACACAGAAGTATACAAGAAAAATTGTCCATCCATCAAAGTACGACATTAGGGACAGACCCAATAGAAAATAGAAAAATAATAGATTTCTAAGAATAACTCAACTGTATGAACAATTTTAATTGTAACTAATGGTCATTCCAGACAAAGTTGTACTTTATAATAAAAAAATCAAAGTTTAGGATTTCTCTATTTGTCTATAATATAAAAAATTTTAAGTAGAAATAATATTTTACTGTCAATATTAGAAGAAAATTTTCTACATAAAAATGATGTTTTTCAATGGTCGAGTTTCAAAATTAATTGCATATTTCTAAGTAAGTGAGAAAAGCAAAGCCATTATTATATAACATTAAATACCCATAAAGTAAGGAGTCTATGTAGATACAAAAAACTATTAAAGTAATCGATTTTGCAATTGAGCATTTAAAAATTTTTTATGACATTACTTTGATATATCCCATTAATTTTACAAATAATTGAAATATAAAACAAATACATGCACAATAATGTCATTATTCAATTGTTTTGTTTTTGTATTATATATATATATATATTATACAAAAACGTTTTATAAGTTTAATTATCAAAGGGGAAAATAATTTTTTTTTAAATATTTTTCGTAGTTCTTTAAAATGCATTTGAAATCAATTGTATTAAACTACGGTAACGCGAGAGTAATGCAAAATATTTTAGTAACACTTTTTTTTAATTAAAACAAAAGTTTTTATTTTGAATTTAATGAAAATTTTATCTTTTAATTATATTATAATATGTGTTTTTTAGATTACACAAAGTAACTTATGTATTATTTTATTTATAAAATGTTTTAAAGTTCATATTTAATTATCTCCAATTTTTTACAATTGCTCTACTAATTTAGATAAATGTTAATAAGTTGTTATAGTGTTTAAATTATACAATTAATTTTTTTGAGCTGTTTAATGTATAAATAGTATTTTGTTTCATTTTTAAGTTTATTTAGCTTATATTTTATAATAACAAACTAAATTTTATAAAACTGACTCCAAAGGTTCATCTATAAAATTTATTTTTTATTTTTAAATGGATTCTTGATAGATTTACAGAGACAAAATAATAATCATAAATATGCATTTTGACCACTACTAATGCCTCCAAATACATATATACAATTACTCCAGCATGATAGTTATCAGGAGTAATTGTAAAGGGAATAAAAATTTTATTAAAATAGAATTTATGTAATACATATCATCAAATAATGTTTTTACATCACTAATATTATAGAAAAAATAATTTCATAGAACCATTTTGAAAGAATTAAAATGTAAACCATCCAATCAACAAAAACTGTGAAACAATTTTTTTTAATAAATAATTTTTTATTTCAAAATACTTTAATAATAAATGCAAAGTTTTTTAAACCAATTTTGTGAATGAAAATGAGTTAATTTATACGATATTATAAAAATCAAATCATAATTGTTGATTTGGATAAACTTGTTTGCAATCGACCTATTTCACCTTACAGTAATTATAATTACTGTATTTTTAAAATTTTAATGAACATATCTACTCAAAGAAAATCTTATGTTTAAAGGTTCTAAATATTAATAATATTTCGGAACCTTTAGTATTAAAATGGGAATGAATAATTAGTATTATAATATATACAACACTAGAATACGTAGTCTAAGCATTATTTAATTGACTGAGAAAATTCTTGCAATTATTATAATTACCTCTGAAAGAGTAAATAGTACAATTGATAAAAGATTTGTTAACATACTTTTTTCATGTTATATTTAGACTCATTATTGCTGTTTAAGGCATCAGCTAAATTTTGTTCTGGACTAATTGAACCATTAGAATCTTGAGCCTGTTGTTGTGCTATAGCTAAATGAAGACAGAATGCAATACAACACGCAAAACCAGCCAGATACTTCATACTGGACGGATGCATAATTAAGCAGTTAACTTAAGAGTGATTATAGAGATTAGGGTTGTCGAACAGAGGACGAAGACGTTTATCGCGAGACCCGCGGCGAGCACCGTATGAGAAGTGTCAGGATAATGTGTGATCAGTTATAGGACCGCGAGACTTCTGCCGATTTGGGTCGCCACCCCCCCGGCGACGATTCCGGCCACTATTACTCTTGTTATGCCCACATGCGTACTACGGTAGGGAAAATATAATAACAATATCATTATTATTATTATTGTTATTGCGCGAATTACAATGTACAGTCACCATCCACAGTGGAGTCATCGTCCGAGACTACCAATTGCCCATTAACGAGCCTAAAATACAATGTATTTGGTAGGCACCAAAATATAAGTATTGTGATTTTCACGGCTGACAATTTTCCACATACAAAGCGCACGTTCCTGTATCCTTTTGAATCTTATAACACGATTTACAATACAATCGTTTAACATAATTTAATATTACATACATTTATATTTTGGTATTATTGTTATTTATAGTATTCTTATAAATGAATGTAAGTATGTGACCCATGATTCATTTTAAGGAAATTAATGGATTTGTCGTGAGAATTGTTTATTGTCTATCGATATTTGAATATATTGAGAAACGATAGGTATACACGCAACTAGATAATAAATAAAATGTTCACAAGATTTGTTATTAAATAGAATTGTCCAATTATTGGATAATTCTATTAATAGTCAAATTAATCGATGTAATAATAACCAGAATAACTACTTTAAAATTTCATGATAAAATTACTATTCAAATTAAAAAATGTATGTGTTATTTAACACTTTTTAACTCAAAATTATAAAAATGTATGTATTTTCTATAATATAAATAATAATACTCATAGGATGTTTCCAGATTTTTTTTTGTCTCGATAAATTTCTTTAATATATATCATGTACAGTTACATTTTTAGACTATATGACATGAGATTTTCATATTTTTTTTTACAATTAGATAGAGGTTCCGAAAAAAATATTAAAAATGAAAGCATTGATATCAATAATTTGACTTAATTCAACAACAACTAAAAAACTATAGTTGTCGATTCTGAATAATAAAAAATATAATACGAGCGAAAGTAAAATATATAAAGTATTGTTGAAACAAAAAATATTTGTATTTATATTATGGTTGATTATAACATCAATTTGCATTATTATTTAGTGACAAAAAAACTATCTGATAGTATCATTTCGTGGTCTATCTGTTTATAATGTAACATGAATATTTTTAAAATTTGTTTAATTATATTCCATAGGTATTATATTTTAATAAAATATAATACTAAACTAAATTTTCGAACGAGTTAAATTAGATTAAATAAGCAATATTAAATTATCTAAGTATAAATTTTATTATATTTTAAATATTGAATCAACACAATGTTACAGATAATATCTGGATCGTAAAATTTCTTATAAAATAAGAAATTTTATCATGTATAACTAGATTATAATGTTCAACACTTTTTACAAATATAAGTATTCGAAATCTTTTTAAGATTTATGATTTTATTTGTAATTGATTCCTATAAATCATTTTTTCTTAATCTATTTTTAACCATATTATTTAGATAGCTTCACCACAGATTATTTATCAAAAATGGGATAGTTTAAATTTTTACTTTAATATAATAAATTATTTTATTTTTTTATATAAAATTATTTAAGTAGTAAGAATTGATCATTTGTGGCTAATATTATTTAAACCTAAATATTTATCAAACATATTAAATTACAAAAATAACAAAAATATTAGCTTTGGGTAAAATTATTGTGTAAGTAATTAAAGACATCTACAAGTAAAAATAAATTATAATTATTTTATTTTTAGTATTGAAGGAAACAAAATTAAGTATTTCACTCTTTAATATAAGAATATTTTCCGGTTTCCAAGTATTCCTAATAATATATGTTAAAATTGTTTTATTACCTTCAATCATTCAATTATTAATAAACTATATTTTCTAATAGTTTTCATGAAATAAAAATATTTTTTTAGTATCATGTTATTATAAATATCTTAAACAGATTTAAATTTGTACTCTTTAAAGTATAAGATAAAATGACATTTAACAAATATGCTTCGTGATGTATTTGAGTGTAATAACAATTTGTTAACGTATAAATAATATTGGTGTACTTGGTATTAAAAAATAATAATAACAGTAAAATTATATTTTTGATTTATGTATGTTGATGATAGGTTTTAGAAATGATTTTTTAAGTATCTATAGTAGATCTAATTATAGAGATAAAATTGATGTAATAGTTATAAATATCGCATAAGTAAACATATAAATAATTATCTAAATTCTTTTAAATTAAAAATATATAAAAATACATGATAATTGAAGAATAACTAGTGATATTTTAATTTTTTTAACTTTGCAGGAAAATCTAAATTAAAAGACCCAATACACTAGAGAACCGTTAAGATGGATAAAGTTTAGACTGAAATGTGACAGTGATATAACTGTCTCAAATCACTTTAATGCTAATGCATTTTTGAAAAGTTCGGCTATTCGCGGTATGATAACCAAAAAATTTAAACAAACGCCCATTTAAAAAAAAAATGTTTTTTATGGTGTGAATTCTCACCTATAATAACAGTATGAATCAAAACAAATTAGTTAAGGCCATGATGTATTTAAAAAATTTGTTTAGGAGTAATAATAACTCTTAAATTCATGTATTTAAAATATTAAGTTGTTAAAACTTCATACAGATTTATAACTTTTGAATAAATTCATAAGAATTCATGTTAAATATTAAAATATGTCAAAAATATTTTGTTAAACAGTTGTTATATTTTTATTCGCTAATAAAAAAATTGAGGGGAATTTCTTCAAATTTTCAAGGTATTTCAGTATATAATAGTTATGATTTTCGGTTATTTTAATGTATTTTTCAAACAATATTGATAAAAAAAAACTGAAATTTATAGTATCAGACACAAATAAATTAATACTTTCTCAGCTACATATTAATGTTAAACATTTATACTTAACAAAATACAATTTTTAATTTTCAATCAATGTCTTTCCTAAAGAAAATATGTTTAAAATAAATTATTCATTTTTAACTCATTAATGAGATTTTTAAAAGTGATACGTTTTGGAAAGTTACCTTTCAATTTAATGTTCATATAATTAACAAATATTTAATTTATTATTTACTATAGTTTTATTTACCAATTAAAACTGTCAGTAACAATTAATCATTTTGAAGTGTCAAGCTAGATTATTAACCAAGTCAAAGCTGTAGAGGGATATTATAGTAGTGCCGTGCATTTTAAGTAAAAAAAAAATAAGACAAAAGATTGACTAATATAAAACAATAATCTGTTATGAAGAATAGTTCAAGAAATATCAATAACCACCACTATAGTATTGCTGGACTGGAGTGTAGGATTCCAATTGTGCTTCTGACAAAATTCTATGACCTCGCGAATGATACGGCTGAGAGATAATTTTTAAAATAGTAGAAGAAGTAGCCAAATTCATAGATTTCTTTAACCAACTAGAACTAAGGAAAGTTAAAGTAATTGCACTTGTAGCAATAAGTAAAGCTTTACCAGCCATAACTATTAGAACAAATGTAGTTAAAGATATTAATGTACCAATAGATACAATTGAAGCGCCTAAATAGTGTCCAACGTAGCTGTCATCAACGTTAACTAAAAAAAAATAAATATAAAAATATAAAACACTTTTTGATGTTATAAATAGTAAATTAAGTTACATCAATTTTTACCAAAGGTAATTAGTTTTATGACGAATGCATAATTTTTATTTTATGGTTATTTAAAGTAGACCAACTTTTTTTACAAGTGTTGAAAAAAACAATGATTTTTTTTTTTCAATTTAAAATAAGATGTCAAAAAAAAAAAAACAATATTCAACATTTACCTAAGTTAATATATAAAAAGAGCATTTATTTATATTCATTTATTATACTCTTAACACTGGTGTAATGAATTTTGAATATATAAATAATTTTGGTAAGATCATTTTATAATCTTAATCCGAATATTACGTAAAATTGCATTCAATTTTATATGATATTACTTTCAATTTCTGAAAATTGTTCTTCGAAGTAAATCTTTTAAAACTATAAAACTATAAAAATCAACTTCACACAATTTTCTTCACATAAAAATAATAATAAAAAAAAAGCATTAAACCTTTACTTTTCAAGATGTATAATAAAGAAGGATAAAAAAATGGGTATATTTTCCAAAAAAAATTTTTTTAGCAGAAAGTCAAAAACAAATTACTATTTTAATTAAAAAAAAAACATTTTTTTTACTATAACAAAAATTTTATAATTATTATAATTAACAACTAGAATTTTTTTGCAATATATTTTATCTTTAATAAATATATTAATTTGAATCTTTTAATTAAATTATAAGTTTAAATATTAATGATTAAAAAATGTTGAATTAAAAAAAATATGCTGTTTTGCATATATTTTATTTACCAGGTTTCTTATATTTAGCATTTTTAATGCTTTGTATCTCTTTTAGTGGTATTTAATACATAAACTGTTGTCCCGAAAATGCATTGGACATGGTCGTGTTAAGAACTGAAGACGTACTTTCTGGAAGTGGTATTCCATCAAAATCTCCTACAGAGTTTATAAAAAAATTTACTTTAATATTAAATACTAGAAAGCGCTCTAAGTATCGTGCAAACGATAAAATAGCTAAGCAATATGTTTGTTTTTAACGGTGCAGATAGGCAACATAATATACTTATAAGTTCAATTTACACCATCCATTGTATTCGAGGCTTCAATAAATTGTTTAATAAAAAACCAACACTGTATAATTTTGCAGCATAACAATTTGAAATATATATGTTTGAAATATACACTTTTAAATTTCAAAATTGTAAAATAATGACCAGAGAAGGGTTTGGAATACCCAAATAAGGATAATTGGAACTTCAAATTAAAACTAGGTTAAAAATATTATTAATTTAAAATTAAAAATATTTAACTCAAATATTATTATACAATTAATGGAAGTTTAAAATGATTGTGCAGGATTTCGTCGGGTTCATTCTATCTTAATTAATTGGGATCAGCTGTTAC